CGGATAAAGCAGAGCATTAAATACCTTACACCAAATCGCATACAGTTCTACACTTATTTTCGCGGTAAAATACGGAAAATTACATCTTGTTCGCATCTGCATTGACTTGTCGAAGTTATTGTTATTCTTCACTCATTCTTGTCATACATTATTAAATATTCGACTTTGTTGCCACTGACTGTTTACGAGATGTCAACAAATAGCCATAACTGCTTCACACTTAGCCTGTTTAGTAAATTTACTTGTGATTTCACAAGATGGACAGATGTTTTTGTTGATGAAATATTAAAAATTAGACAGTTTTGCCGTATAAAAAAAAATCAAATTTCATAGGAATGGTTACATGGGTTATATGGAATAGTCACAGGGTCGGCCGCTGCCTCAAAACGTGTCATATCAAACCAACCAAAGCTTAAGACCTACAAATTTAACACGAAAAGACATAGGACTCGGAAAATGAATCAAAATCCATTGGTGTTTCTGACTATTGCGAGCACATCCCAAACTTAATGCACTCTATATCACAAGTGAAGTACATTATAATAATCAGGAACATCATTATTTACATAGAGATACGCAAGCACACATATTAAGGTCTTCTTCTACTTACTTGCAAGTCATTGTCTTTATACCTCCTTACACACTTGATTAGACTAATTGGCTCAGATGGCAAATTACCATCGAACAGCGTTTACTCTCATATGTGCTTGAGCGCACACATATATTTAGATCTTTCAAATTTTACTGCATACACATAACTTCCATCATCATAATGACCGCACAATGACAAATTGTCTTCACGTAAAAATTGCCGTATTTGTCGTTTGTATGTATGTGTATGTGTGTGTGTGTGTGTGTGTGTGTGTATGTGTGTGTGTGTGTGTATGTTTGCATGTTTGTATTGTAAGCAAAGAAAATTGAATGCTCATTCATTCATTCATTCACAAAAACTGCGGAGCGCAATTGTCACCCATTAAAAATATTGCATCTTCTTGATGTTTTTGTTGTTGCTATTGTTGTTATTGTTGCTATTGGGGCAGTAGTAGCAAGCAAGTCTTGTGTGTGGCTTTCGCTTCCTCCTTCCACTTCTTTAGTTTAATGTAATTGATGCCAAGATTCTTCAATTTTTTCAAGCGACCGGAAGTTTTCATTTAATTACACTTAAGTAAAACTTTGGTTGTTTCTACGAATTGTAGACTAACTGGCTTTTGATGACGGGATTGTGTCTAGATCAGCGGATTGCCTTATTGTCGTTGTGGTTACATTAGACGGTTCAAAAGTGTTAATTAATGTCAATAAATAAACTTCTGTTAAAAGACGCATATAAAGAAAGAAACTAAAATTTTTTTTTTTTGGTTTTTTTTTTTCAGTACAATTTTATTAGACTTTCTTTTAATAGTCAAATTGTGTTTCTTTATAATTGTGTTACTTTTTTTACATTGTATTATTCCAACATCACGTGGTTATTAAGACATTATTTATAAAATTTTCTCTCTTAGTTTAGAATATTTTTGGAAGAAACAAGTAGGAAATCCATGCTTGTCGAAGGACAAATATGGCACGCTACGGTTTTTTTAAAGACGACTTTATTAATTCCGATGCTGTGCAAAAGTCATCCGATATCAATTTTACCCCGTCTATGTGCGTTGCCTTAACAAAAACAAGTTATTAATAAAAGCATTGGATCAAGAAAAGAGATCGTGGCTTTTTTCTCTAATGGTAGCTTAAGATTCGATTTGCTTTAGTATTACAAACAAATGACGTTGCAACACTTATTGATTCAGTTCGCAAGCTTGTGAAAATAATAGTGATGTTTACGGTGTTTACGGTCGCTTTATCGAAATTCACTGCAGGCAAATTGTTTGCACGCTTCCGCTTTGGGAATTTCGCGCGCCGTGATGTGGTCAACCAACATTTTATGACATTGCTGCGAAACGTTTCTTCTTAGGACATCGCTGACTAAAACAAAAATTTTTGAATCCTTTGCTTTTGCACCCAATTTTCAACGGTGAATCGCTGCTGAAATAAAACGAAACGATGGGCACGCTTGTAAAAATACAGATGGATGAATGAAGCCGCGTAGTGAATTGACGCTACGTAAAAGGAAATTTGGGTTTGGTGCGTGAACAGAAAAGAAATCTTGCTATAGAAAAGGCGTCGTCTTCTCCACCGCGATGTCAGGCCACAGAACTTGTTAATGACTCGGTAAAAATTGTCAAGGGTTAGCTTACGGCGTTTTAATGTCCCCACTGGACTTTGTTCTGCAAAACTTTCTCAACAATGCACTTCGTTAAGACCACATTTTCGAATAATAATCAAGTAAAAATATTAAAAAAAAAAAAATAAGTACGAAAATTATATTCGGTCGTGATCAAATCTTTTATACCCATCACCGTTATCCCAAAAAAAAAGACTGAAAAGAGAAAAATAACTAAATTTTCACATTCTACAACATTGGATGGACGCGGCTGATTTTTCCTGCTTTCAGAGTGAAAGTAAAGACTTAGATAAGTAACGGGCAAAAAACACGGAAAGCAAAGTCATCACAGGGTTTGTCGCACAGACGTGTGGGCTTTATAGACGTGTTTTTTGAAAAGTTTGGTTCATTTCCAAACTCGTTTGCAAACGTGAGCATATTTACTAAAGACACTGCGATGTTGAGCAGACGGAATTTTAGCCTGACCAGGAACTTATATGTATATACTTTTTGGGAATTTCGAAAATTACTCCCGCGCTTTATAAAGGGAATGAAAAAGATAATTAAATTTTGATGCACTACAACAGTGGGCAAGCGTAGCTAATTTTTTCCATTCTTGTATAAGTACTAGAGCCTCACCCATAGAATATGCGCCCAAATTTTTGTAGATTTACTTGCTTTAGTTTACGAATAATTAGCAAAACACCAATTTTTTTTCCTTCTGAAAAACAGAGGTGTTCTCCGTTCTCGTGATATTGTGGACGTGTCCTTCGACAACTTTGGTACATTTTCAATATCTATCTGCGTGCAAAGACTTCCAATGCTTCTACCAAGTTTGAAGTCCTTACCTTTATTTCTGCCACCAGGAGAGTGCCAACAACAAACACCATACAAACGGGCAGACATGTCTTAATCAATTCAGAACTTCACGCCGGTCAAGGATGTATACACTTTATAGAGTCTCTGAAGCCTACTTTCGGATGTTGCTTATATTATAGAAACAAACAAAATGAGTATACCCTTACACTTACACTGGTGGGTATAAAAAACCATTTTCAAGACTTGATTCACGTTTTTTTAATTTTTGCATAGCATTTTGCGAAATTAATTTTGTAATTCTTCCGAATGTTTTAGGTGAGTTCTATACCTCGTAACTGATAATAAAGGATAGTTTTAATCAATGCCTCCTATTTTGAACAAATTAAGCCATGTTCATGCATTGCTGGTATATGCGATACCTAACAGTCTCTCTATTAAGATTGTAAAAAAAACATAAAACTTTTTAAATGTAGCTGATGAATCAACTTGAATCTGAAAATGGAGACTATGGGTCCATCAACTGGCTTCTCAGACTAAAAAATTGAAAATAAACAAAATTCCAAACCATTATCCGAATCATAATTTGCAGGCGTGGCGGACGAGATTCGATTTGAAGTATGGTACAATTATATATCAAAGTCACATAATGGTTCATTCCGGATCGATTCCCCCACGTAACTAATAAAGAAGATATCTGATTACTGAGAGAGAGGGGGTATTCAAGATTCCGTTAACTAAAAATATGAAATCCGTTCGTTAGCTTGGATCGTAGTTTCTGTCATCTCTTTAATAATAATGAGAAAAAAAAATGACTGTGTTTGTAGAGATTTTTTAAAGATCTTTTTTTAAGGTTTACTGCTTCCACTGCCATGACTGAGTAGTAAAAGATGATTCGTAAAGCTCGCTCCACAGCTTAACTAATCTCTTTTTCCTTTTTTTTTTTTTTTTGTTTTTAATATTGATTTAGAAACATACATTACCCTTTCAGAGACCCATATATGTATGCAAATATTTAAAATATTTACGATTTGCTTTTATGATCTTAACAAAATTGCGTCAATAATGCACTCTTTACACTCACTCACTACCCTCAGCAAGTTATGCTTAGCGTTTCATTAAATAAAGTAAAGAGTGAAATGCAGCTCCAGTGAAAAGATTTTTGTTCCCTAATGCCTCAACGCTCTAGGGTAATATTTTGACAAAAAAGTAACGGAAATATGAAAAAATCATGTATGACTTTTTATTTGATATCATGGAAAAAAGAACCTTTTCAAGATAAAATATTAGCAGAAAAATTGAACACCAGCGTAGATGTAATCCGGTAATGCTTAGAGTTCCTTCAAATGCTCTGTGGCGGCATCGATCGACTTAACTCATTTCCTTCGGTTTTTGGAAAAAGAAATAACTCATACTGAACTAAGTCCGGCACATGCTGATCGGGAACCTCTGTACAAGATTGAGAAAGCAAGAAAAAAAAGAAACCCCGCTAAGCACTGCTTGACAGCAACGCTATAAATGGACCCACAGAGATGCATTCTTAAGCTGTAGAGAGCCTTCAACTGAAATGCATTTATTTTGAAATATCGACTAATTATCTCCATCAACACTACGTGAGGAGTCGGTGCGACTCAATCGGTTAGCGCTAGTGCAGAGTTTTTTTTCAACGAAACCGCCATTTAATGATCACTCATGTTTATGTGATCCATTGGCATACAAACATATTGTCTAACGATTATTCACGCAAATAACATCTCAGGCATTTAAAAAGTATAAATAAAATAATAAAAATGTTAAATAATATTTTTATTTATTTTTTTTGTTATTCAGGGGAACACAGCGTTCTTATTAAATATAAATAAATAATTAGCATTTACCTGTATATATATATATACATATGTTTATATCGTATATACATACACATATGCACTTCATGAGCAAAAAAGTACATCTATTTTAATATAAATTTTAATATATACACCCCTCTACCATATACATATGGGCATATATGCATAAGTAACTGACCAATTAGAATTCATCATTCTACACTGAGTGCCGGTTTTGTATTCCCGGCACAAAACATATCAACCCTCTGGCAACAAAATATCATACATTGCGTGGAACTGCACTTTGTTCGTAAATTATTCAGAAGCGGTAAGCGTCGTATATCATAAAACGACAGCATATACCAAAACTGATAACAATGTTTAGAGATGTGTGAACGTATTGTATTGCTTACACCTTAGCGCATACCGACAATTCGGCAGAGGCATACAACAATGCAATGTAAGTTTCAAATGCATTCGCTCTTGCTACTCATAACCGGCGCTATCAGTATTTCTTAACTCACTCAATTGATAAGATTAAATGATTTTGCAGAGAAAAACTCTAAAGATATAGTTGTCTCTTACACACATGCACACACACTGTGTGAATAATAATATCAACTTACCGGCACTCCTTACATATAGGCGTCTCACTCATTACAATGCACTCAATACGTTTAACTCAAACTTTGCATTGCATTCTAAAGTTAGTTATACCCGTAGGCTCTGTCATCCGTATAGTAGAACAATAGTGGAAATTGTACTACCATCATCATCATCATCATCATCTGGATCATTATCATCATGAGTATCATTATTACGGCTATAGTTATTGTCTAAATCGTTATTATCGGTATAGTAGCTGAAGTTGCTGAAGTTGCTTAAGCTGTAACTACTGCGCACTAGTACACCAACACATTGTGGGCTTTACTTGTGCTTAACTTTATACTTTATACCTTTTCTTATATTATGATTACTACTTATATATAAATGTGTATATGTGCGTGCGTTAGTGTGCGTACACGTGTACATGTATTTGTAGTGTGTAATATATTCACTTGTATCTCTTGCATGCCTTGCGCTCGATTCGTTTGTATGCATAGACAAACACAATGACGATTATTTTCGTTATTTATTCCCCTCAAAGCAAGCAAGCACAATGCGAGTGTATGCGGATAGATTGACTGCCTTAAAGAAATTCCAATTGTTCGTTTTATGTCCGAATCGCAGAAAACCACAAAAACAACAGAATGCTCGCTTAGCAAGACGTGCGCCCGCTACTCAATTTCAGTCCGGTTTTGAATTTGTCGTTGAGCGCAACTTGTGTATCTTCAGTAGAAATAAACGATACATGTCCCCGATACAACCCCCGAGTGCTTGCTATTCAAATTAATATATTAAAAAAAAAAAAAAACAAAGAGAAACAAATCAAAATACATGTAGAAAAAAATAAATAAATAAATAAATAAAATTTAACTGGATGGAAATTTTTCCTACACTTCAGCGTCGGTGCTTGTATTTAAAAGAAAATTTTTTTTCTTAACATATCGCACGAGAATTTCATTTTACTTCCAAGTCAAACTTAAATGAACGCTTTAATCAAAGGGTTTTAATGTTTCTTTCAAAACTTTTCTCCGCGAGAACGATAACTTGGATGAAATTTAAAACTAACTTCTTGCGAATTGATGTGTGCCTGAAGACATTTTTATAATAACATAAATGTAAGTTAAGTTTACTAAGTTTTAAATATCGCGAGGAGAGGTGTAAAAGTTCACAAAAAAAAATTATGGTTTCCTTTATCATCTTATGTAAATTACATTGAAATTTAAATTGATCGCTGAACAAGTTTGAAAAGTACATAGCATCGTTCAGGATAATTGACCATAAATGAAATCGATTGTAGTTGATAGACTTCACTTGGAGTAGTGATAAAAAAGGAAAGTTTTTTCTAGGATATATTTCATCTTCTATGACGGGAATAAAATGGCATCTTATATTCGCAGGAGTCACAAGCACCGCCCCCTTTCCGTTGGTCATAAGCATGATCGACATTACTTTCTAAATTTTTAGTAAGAGTGACAATACAAGAATTTGTTGGTTTTTTACCTTCATTCAAAATTTCTGACTTTATATAGGCCTCGATCGATGATTCCACTATTGAGCAGTGCATGTTAGCAGTCGATATAATTAGAGTAGCAATACACAAAAGATAAATAATAGAAATATTTAGCTATCAGAAACTTCCTAAAGGTCATAGATGGAACTGCCATCGCCTAACGGTAGGCGTAAGTGTAGTCGATACCGTCCAATGGACATTTACTAAGAGCTTCAATACAAAAGTTTACTTCTTGATCATGATTATTAAGTGTGTAACGTTAAGAGAATATCTTATATCTAATAGGACGGTTAATAATTCCCGGTACGAGGGAAAACTTTTTTTTTGCAAGTTTCGATTTTATTCGCCAACACAATTATTGAAGACCTCCGAAATGCTCTTTAGTTTGTGCAATAACATGATCATTTGATCCAAACTCTTTTTTCTGGAGCATTCCCTTGAGATTTGCAAAGAGATGATAATTGTCAGCGGAATGTAAACGTACAGCACGCATGGTAACCACTGGTCCGCGAGTTCGCCGAGTCCAGCCCGCTACATTTAAAATTCCAAATAATTTAATTTGCTTGCTAGTAGCTATGCTTCAAATGCAAAAAGTTGACAATGCCCCATTTTTAATAACAGTTGCACATTGGTCATAGTATAAAAATTGAATTTGTCCCGTTGATGGTATGGAAACGTGGTTATAATGGCCAAATTTTTTATGCAAAAGGCGAATACAATCGATTGATATCATTAAGATCAGTTATCTCTTGCAACTCCATTTTTCGTTTATTGAAAAAAATTTTTACAATTCGTTTTGTTGTTTTCTAGTCTAACCATCCCTTTTAGGGTCCACTGCATTCAAAATCTTCGCAGGCCTTGTTTAACATGAGCACATCACTGACAGGTTGCTGCTTTCGACGGAGAAAAGTTGCCATAGCACATTTCAAACCAATTTCGAGTTTAGAGAAGATTGTCCTGATGAAAAAGCACTTCTTAATGAACGGACGAAATTCGAATTTTTCCAAACTTTTCAGTAAAGTCATTAAAATCATTATAAGTCGCCAAATGATTGATGCAAATGACACGAAATTTCCGCAGTCGTCTTCAGAATGCCGGTCTAGAACTAACGTGGATTGCTTGCTAGACATGACCCGCAAATTGTTGACCGATATGTCATCATCTAATGCTATGTAAATAAAATTAAACCGTCACTTGAATATCGTGCTATTTTAAATAAAGTTTAAATTTAACAGCGATAAGCTTCTTCTCCAGTTAATGAATCCCAGATCATTGACATACACTCTTGATAAGTCTGAGTTTAGGACTGAGTTTGAGTCGAGTTGTCCGCCCTTTGTTAGAACCATTACATTGCAAAAGTTTAGTTGAAAAGTGAATTTTGTACCCGAACCTACTTCCAAGAATTTGAAAGTAAACATGACAGTCCCATAAGAACATTTGCTATAAATTTAATATTTTAGAAAGGATTTTTGTCAATCACTTGATCCCACTCGCAAATGTTTTTATAAAATTTGATAATATCATTTTCCCCGGGAGTCTGCTAGCATTGACGAACGCTTTTCAACTCTGTTGATGATGTTGCAAAACAAACGCAAGGAGCAAATAAATTCTATCTCTTCGAGTTGGCAATAGTTATGGTCGCTCAAATTGATTTGAGAGATGTCTTCTTATCATAACTTTTGCATTAGACGCCAAAAAAAAAAAAAAATGCTTTATACCGTCTAAGATCTCTGTGATCACACGGACAATATGGTCGCATGGCAGATATATCATAGAAAACTCCCGCGTTTTGTGTTTTAGGTTTCGCATGTTTCACAATTCCAAGTCTTAATACAGGTAGCACGTGCTCGATATATATATATAAATAATAAGAGTCGCGGCAATTACGTCGGTGTTTCCGGGCTCAAATATAAGTGCGATTTACTATATTTGGTCGTAGCTACAGAATGGGCAGACCACACTACCCTCTTACACCTGTAGGGGAAACACCCTTAGTGAGAACATCTTGATTACGAAATTATACTACGAAAAAAAACAATTAAACATAATTTTATCAATCTAGTACTCTCCTCGAAAGGATTTCTTTCTTTTCTCTAAACTCTGGAGGTGAAGTAATCAAAAGCGATATTCACAACTCCAATAAAGAACAAAAGGGGCAGACCAGCTTGATTGGTTTGACTGGCTAACGCTAACCAGTCCGCAGCAGTAAATCCTTATAAAATAGCTGACACGTATTTGTTCATGTTTTACACACCAGACGGCAATTTCTTAAATTTTTATTATTGCATTAAGTGATGGATATAGAAAGCGTTCATTGGAAATTTTAATACTTTGCTGTAGGACCATTTTGACAATAAGTTTCGTTGCTTCATATTTTGGAACGATGGATTGTAAATATAACAAATTTATTATAAATAAATTATTAGGTTTGCATTTTCGTTCTTATTTAAATTTTTATTTTAATTTTTTTTTGAAAGCTGTTTCAGTTAGTGCTAAGATTGTGGATAGACATGATAGGATCGTGGAATCTGTTACTTATTTCATGAAAGAATTTACAAAAAGGCGTGTGAGCTAAAGATTGCGAAAACGTCAATTGAAGGCAATAACAAAAGCGACTGCAGGATAAGCAAAATAAAGTGCAAACAACTGACTCGATTATCTGCCATCCTGCAAGTAGTTCCTAATCTCCTCTTTTCATATTGTTGAAAATTTATTGTTGCACGAGTTGTTTTTATTCGATGAGCATATTTATTGTATATATTGTTATAGAAATAGGCGGAAATTAGGCTATCAAATTCAAGGAAACGTCACGAGCAGTCGAGTAAATAAAAATCGCGGCTACCAAGTTAACGCACGAGGGTTTACATTTCTGTGGGGTAGAATATGCTTGGTTGTAGGTATATTGAGCACTCAAACGGTAAAGACATAACATTCCTCGATTGGGCGCACACCCGCTAGGTCGCCTCTTTTTTTGACCGCCACCGTATTAGTCGAATGAGAAAAAGAATTTTCAAGCGTTTGTAACCTTTTATATGTAATTCATTTGACATGAACGCTTTAAACAATTAACTGTCGATCTCTTTAGCCATGACGAATATACACGTCACACACGCTTTATATGTAATATGAAATTAGATTGCAATGAAACGAGTTGAAAAAATATTTTCTAAGGTACATTTTATGAGAAAATCCAAAAAAGACGGAAGGACGGATCATGACATATATCCTCATCATACACAGTAAACAGGTTAAGAACAATCTCTAGTCCTATACGAATTTTCACTTTACTTAGAGAGGTTAATACACCTTCCTGATTAACATATATATATATATATATATATAATAAGATTCAATACGAATAAAAAGTAATAACAGCACTAGGAGTTTATCAAGAAAATTTGAATCAAATTAAAATGCCACACAGTTGTTTTGCTGAAAATGACAGTTGTGCCAACAGAAAAAACAAAAGAACTAAAAAGAGCAAAGCCTACTAGGAGAGGAAGAGAAACCGATGCGCAAAATCGACCGACTATGTGCAAGAGTCTGGCCCGAAACTGAAAAACAAATAAGAACAATTTTCGGTCTGCCTCTATAAGTGTTTAGTTGTTATAATATTGCAAAATGTTAATTTACTTTTGTTCTACACTCTACTGATGGCTTCTTGTTTAGTTCAGTTTTTGTAAACATACTGTTGGCTCAAAAAAAAAAGAAAAGAAAATAAAAAGTAAATAAATAAACAAAGAAAAAGGCTGACAAAAAAAAAGAAGAAATAAAACAAGTCATCAGCAGTGAATGAATAAAAGAACAGAAAAATGCACAACAAACATGCTCATCTAACATGACTACAAGCGGCTATATAGCAACAACAAACATCCAACAATTTCAACAAAAGATTGAAAATTTCGGGCAGGCTGGCAGACAATCGAGTTAGTTGGTTGCGCCTGCGCTTTTGCGTAATTTCCTTATGCTGCTGTTGCTGTTGTTGTTGGCTTGTCTGTTTTTTTGTTTTTTTTTTTTTTTTTTTTTTTTTTGGTTCTTATTTAAACAAGAAAATGTCTGTTATTGTTGTTCTTTTTGCATTTGTCGTTTTAGCATTAATATTTTTTTTTTTTTTTTTTTGTAGTTTGGTGTTCCTTTTTTCTATATTTGCCGTTGTTGTTTTTTTTTTTTTTTTGCTCTTTTCATTCCTCGCTCTTAACATTAACATGTTTTGTGTAAATAACTGCACGTTGTGAACGCAAATAAGCAAAAAAAAAAAAAAAAAAAAAAAAAGAGTTGCATACTACAACTACAAATGCAATAATAAATAAAAGAAATGTGTTGTTATGTTATACTACCGCCTTCGCCTCCTTCCCATTTTCAATTTCAAAGAAAATCAGTATCCTCGCACAATCACAATTTTGTATTACTATCCCATCAAAAAAGTTTGTTTTTATTTTTTACTCCAACAGAGATTTTTACTAATCTGTTTTCAAAAAAATATTTGACGAAAAACGGGAAAAATGGCAAAATGACAAATCATCGAAACTTCAACAACTAAATATCACGCACAAACATTGTTAAGCTGAGAGGTCTTGAGCAATATTTAGAAACAACGCTTTTTCG